AGAAAGAAAGAAAGAAAGAAAGAAAGAAAGAAAGAAAGAAAGAAAGAAAGAAAGACCCTTACAACACTTTTATTCTGTTATTGGCAAGATATCCTAGTTTCTACCATATGCTTGCATCTCTCTTCCAATCTTTGGAAGCTTTCCCCATTTCTGCATTCACTTCCACTCTTTTGGGAATGTGAGACTCACTTTCAGAAAAATAAAACTGGCTACTGTACCAAAATGATAGGGCTGCTCTGTTGAGGTGCACAAATCTTACCTGCGGAATCTTGTATAGACTTAAAATGTCTGCCACACAGGAGGAGATGTCAGGGCTCATTCCCCCAATGAGTGCTATCAGTCTTCTGTGAGGATCACATTTGTAGTTGGGGAGAAATGTCTGTGACTTGAAAAGCAAGTCCAAGGTGATCCGATAGGTCATCCTTGAATCAAAATGACTGTCATAGATATGGAAGCCAAGTGTGAGATTCGGCAAGATCATTGGATCCTGGTTGATCTTATTCACAGCAAAGGCCAGAGCCAGGAGGTGTTGGTAGAACTTTAGCAACATACTGTAAGAAAAAAGAATATATACATCTTTGGTGAATTTAATTTACAATGCACACTCTCCTATTGCCACCTTTCTGCATGGTTCAGATTTAAATAAAACACAATTAATTGGAAATCTTCCCACCAACTTTTATCAGCTCCTTCATTAGCAAAATCAGGGGGCTGAATAGAAGACAATTCTAAAGGTTTAGGAAAAAAAATAAACATGAAACTGATTAGGGATACTCCAAGTATGGAACTCGAAGCTGATAAAGTAGGCTTAGCAGATGTTAGTTTCTGGCTGTCTAATTACTGGATGCAACTGATATAATCCCCTTAGCTTGTATTATCCCCTTAGTTTGTAATGGCCTGCAGTGCATGAAATGTATCTTGACATTTTCATCACATTTTAAATTGAGGAAAGAATACCATTTGGTCTAAAGTAACATTATTCCTTTCACCAGAGCCAGTTTAAAAAAAAAAAAACTTTGGACAATTTCTCTCCATTTGCTTCCTCTTTTGTCCAGCAGTGCTGATCTCACCTTTATCTCCTTTCATAAATTTTTATGGTGATTCCAATTTAAACAGCAAAGAACCATTGACCTCTTGAAATCTCTCCCATGTATTATACAACAGTAGTGGGCCTTATTCATGATGACAATGAGGGTGCTTACCAAAAGGAGGTTGAGGGTTTGGTGAACTGGTGTAAGGAAAACAGCCTAGTTTTAAATACTGGAAAAACCAAAGAGATCATTGTCAATTTCAGAAAAGGCAGGCACAGCCACATACTTCTCTGTGCATTAATGATTTGCCTCTGGAGATGGTTACCACCATCAAATTCCTTGCTGGCTTGGTCACTCAACAGTGAGACACTGGTGAAGCGGGCACAGCAGTGCCTGCATTTTCTGCATCGCATGAGAAAAGCTCATCTTCCTTCCCCTATCCTTTCCACAGAGGAATGATCAAGAGCATCCTGTCATACAAGTTATTCATTTGGTTTGGAATCTTCACAGCTTCAGACAGGAAGGCAGTGCAGAGAGTGGTGAGGATGGCTGAAAAGATCATTGGCAGTTCCCTCCCTTCCATCCAGGACATAGCACAGAAGTGCTGCTTGAGCAAGGTCCACAAGATTGTCTGAGACACGATACATCCTCTTCACAACTTGTTTTTCTTGTTACCTTCTGGGAGGAGGCTCCATGGTATCCGAAGCACAGTCACAGCTTTGTTCCATACAGATTCAGTCACAGCTTTGTTCCATACAGTATTAACCTTGTGAACTCTAAAGCTTCCTCCTTCCATTATGTATTCAAGATGGACAGTGATTAATATTTATATGTTACTTATATGTAAGGGTGTATGTCTATACATATGTTGTATATAGTATGTTTAAATGTGTGTTATGCATGTGTACAATTTGAAAGCAAGTAACTAAATTTCATTTTTAATGTGTGCCATTGTACCCACAATAAAAAAATGACAATAAAGGTTATCTAATCTAATCTAAAAAAAAGGCATTGTTGAAAATGCAAAAATAAAGAGGGAACATTTTAC